GGAGCCCCCCGGCCACTGGTGTGTCTGGGAGACTGCTGACCCCCCTCCCGGTTAGAGGCAGGGATCCCCCAGTGTCCCCAGTTAGAGGCAGGGATCCCCCAGTTCCAGTGACAGCCCTGGTCTCCTTGTGTGGGTCTGAGGCTGTGGGGGATGCGAGGGACCCCTTGCAATGATGGGTTGGGGTGCTGCAAGCTGTCCCTCACTCCGGTCCCCATGCCGGGCTGCTCACTTGTGTGTGTGTGTGTGTGTCTCCCCCCCACCCAAAATTCCCTTTCCAGGGATCTCCGAGGACTCCAAAGTGGAGGCTCCGGCCTTCACGGACGCCGTCCGCATGTACCGCCAGTCCAAGGAGCACTACGGCACCTGGGACATGCTGTGTGGCAACGAAACCCAGGTGAGGACCTGTGGGTGTCCCCCCCTCCACCCTGGGGCTGGGGTTGAGGGGGAATCAAGGGCTGAGCAGGCTCCCCAAAACCTTCTGCCTTGGCAGGTCCTGAGCAACCTGGTGATGGAGGAGCTGCTCCCCGAGCTGAGGACCACCATCGGCCCCCGGCTGAAGGGCAAGGCCCAGGAGCGCCAACGGACCTGGATCCAGGTGTGGGGCTGGGGTTGGGGGGTGTGTGTGTGTGTCGAGGGGGGGTGTGTGGACTCATCTTCCATGCCCTGTCCTCCCCCTGCCTGCACTGCCTCTGCTTTGGGGACCGCGTTGCCACCTCCCATCCCCACCAGCTTTCCTGCTGGTCACAGCCAGCGTTGTCCCTTCTCCTGGCCGTTCTCCCGGCCCCCACCGAAGAAGCTGGACTTATTCTCCACCCTGTGGCTTTTTCAAGCTCCTCCTTGTGCCCCTGCCCGTCCCTGCCTCCTCCCTGGGGCCAGGGAAGCGAGCAGGAGGAAGCCCAGCCCCGTGGAGAAGCTGGTCCTGGCTATTTTTAGCGAGCCATTTTTAGAGCAGCGCGGGCTAAATCCAGCCCCAACCCTTGCGAGAAGACCCAAGGGCTCTTCAAACCCCCCACCCTGTTAAAAACCTTAAAAGCCCGTAGATAATTACCCCCGGGCTCATTAAGTGCCACTGGAGCAGCCTGAAAATACACAAACGCTGCTTTTTCAGTCTCTTTGGTGTAAAGCTGGGGAGCCCGAGGGAGGAGGGGACACACACACACACACACATACAGACACACACGGCTCTGCTTCCTGCTGGCCCCAAAATCACAGCGTTTGGCTGCAAAGTGAGGGTGGAGCCTCAGCCAGCGGCTCCATCCAACTCATGGGGTTGGATCCTGAGAGCCCAGGGTGGCTGAGTGGGGCAGGGATTCTCCTGCGTGGACCACCAGTATCCCCAGACCACCAGTATCCCCAGACCACCAGCATCCCTAGACCACCAGCATCTCCAGGCTGATAGCATCCCAGGAGCACCAGCATCCCCAGACCTGCAGCACCCCTGGACCACCAGCACCCCCAGACTGGCTGAGCAGAGCAGGGCACAGCTTTCAAATGGGGCCAGGGGTCCTCCTGCCTGGACCACCAGCATCCCTGGGCCACCAGCATCCCTGGGCCACCAGCATCTCCAGACCTGCAGCATCCCCAGACCACCAGCATCCCCAGACCACCAGCATCTCCAGACCTGCCTGGCTGCTGGAGGCAGTGCTCAGCTCTGTGCCCCTCTGGCACCACTTGAAAGCAGCTTCTCCATCATGAGAGCTTCATGTCACCCATCTCGGGGGTCCCTGATGTGGAAAACCTACTGCCAGGCTGTGAGGAGGGGTCTGGTCAGGTCATGGGTGAAGGTTTGACAGGTCCTGCAGGAGGTAATGGTTAGCAGGGGCAGCAGGAGGCGTGGGGGGCAGCTGACCACCCCAGTTTCTCTCTCACCAGATCTCAGATGCCGTCTATAGGATGGTCTACGAGCAGACCAAGGCCCAGTATGATGCAGTGATGGCCAAGTGCGAACAAGAGAGGCCCCAGATGGAGAGCACCATCCGCACAGACATGGACCAGATCATCACCTCGAAGGAGCACTTGGCCAGCAAGATTCGAGGTACAGCCCTGCAGGGAGACGCGGGGACATGGATCTGTGTGGCTGTGTCCATAACCGCTCCTGGGGTGGCACCACCACCATTTCACCGGGGTGTCGTTGTCTCTGGGGTGCAGCACAGCTCCTACCAGCATGGCCTGGAACCCTTGGGGAGATGCCAGCAGCCACAGTGGCCAGCACGCACGTTCTCATTGGCATTGGCCCAGGAAGTGGGGGACAAGGTGGGCAGTGACACCCCCCCAGAGCAAGGCAGTGGGGCAGGAACAGGTTCACTACAGATGGAGGGCCCCCTGCAAGAACCCGTTGCGTTGTCCTAAAAGTCTGGGAGGCCTCTGCTGGAGGAACTTGAAGAGAAGGGCAGGACCTCCTCCTTAGGGTGGATTTAGGACCTGATCTGCAGAGCTGGAAGGGCAGAGGAGGAGCCTCACCATGTTTCCCCCCATTCTCTGCCCAGCGTTCGTCCTCCCCAAAGCAGAGATCTGCGTCCGTAACCACGTCCAACCCTACATCTCCTCCATCCTGGAAGCCTTGATGACCCCTACGAGCCAGGGCTTTGCCGAGGTGCGGGAGGTGTTCTTCAAGGAGGTGACGGACATGAACATGAACATCGTCAACGAAGGTGGCCTGGAGAAGCTGAGGGAGGTGAGACATGGTGATGCTCCTTGCTGGCTGATGGGCTTGGGGTGCTGCCATCCTCAGTGTGGACAGTGCAGGGGGACCCCAGGCTGAGAAAACACATGGGGATGAAGCCTGTGTGGGGTGGCACCTCCCAGCCTCGAGTGCCTGGATAGGCTGTCCTGCCCTGCTGAGCTTGGCTTTCTCCCCAGTACATGGAGAAGCTTTCCCAGCTGGCCTTCCACCCGGTCAAGATGCAATCGTGCTATGAGAAGATGGACCAGCTGAAACTGGAGGGCCTTCAGCAGCGGTTCGATGTCTCCAGCACATCTGTCTTCAAGCAGAGGGCCCAGATCCACATGAGACAGGTGAGATGATGACTGGGGTCTCCTTGTGTCCCCCTGGGCTGAGCACAGAGGGCTGGAGAGCAGGAAGTCCAGGCTGGTCCAAGCCAGGCAGGGATTTGGCTGGGTCATCTGTCCTGTCTCATGGACCTTCATGGCACCCAGAGAAGGGTGTGTGATCATAGAATCGTAGAATCATTCAGGTTGGAAGAGACCCTTGGGATCATCGAGTCCAACCATGTACCCTACTCTACAAAGTCCTCCCCTACACCCCTACCATATTGGCTCTGGCCATCCCCATTGGTCTGGAGCCCGAGCAGAGAGAGGACCCCATGGATGGGCAGCAGCTTGGGACACCCTTCCAATGTGGACTCAGCACCCAGGCTTGGGCATCACGGCACAGCTGCTCCTTTGCCACCGAGCCCACTGGCACCAGCAAGACCAGTAGCCAAGTTCCGGGGTCTGTCCAGCCAAACCTGGAGTGGGGTGTAAAAATGGGGAGGTGAAACCAGTTTTGGGCACCCTCCTCCTCCACCACCCTCGGTCCCCAGGGTGGGCCCCATGGATGCCACGCTGGGATGATGGGGACCTTGCCAGCGTGAAGGCTCATCTTGGGGTGGCAGTGCCCCAAAAGAGCCCCCTGCCCACCCCCGTGGTGGTGGGTCCCCTTTGTGTGTCTCCTGACCCTCTGCCTCTGCTCACAGCAAATGGACGACGCCGTGTACACGTTCGAGACGCTGCTCCACCAGGAGGTGGGGAAGCTGCAGAGCAAAGATGACTTGTGCAAGTCCATCCAGCGCATCCTGGAGAGGGTGCTCAAGGTGAGGGGTGGCAGGTTGGTGGCCTCAATGGCCTTCGGTGGCCTTAATCCAAGGGCCAGGGTCCTGGGGAGAGGAGAGGAGTGACCTTTCCAATTTTAATAAGTCTTTTGGGGAAATAACATCTTTATATTGAGATTTTCATGCATTTTGCTGGGATGTGGGGCAACCACCTGGAGGAGCCAAATCCCCTCTGGCCACATGCATCGCTGTAAAAGCCACCTGGGGTTCAGACTGGTCCAAAAGCCCTTCTGTGGATGGCGGTGGAGGAGCTGGTTCCTCCCTGGGCTTGGAGACACCCCAGGAACTGGTTGGAGAGAAGGATGTGAGGGGCAGAGGAACCTGCAAATGGGTTGAGTGGGGGAACCGTTGGGGTTTGTGCCTGTGGGCTACCAGCCCACAACCCTCACTGGCTCTGGCTCGCCCTGCAGAAATACGACTACGACAGCAGCACTGTGAGGAAGAAGTTCTTCAGGGAGGCCCTCCTGCAGATCACCATCCCCTTCCTGCTGAAAAAGCTGGCGCCCACCTGCAAGGGGGTAAGAGGGTCAAAGCTGGGGGGAGGGAGGGGAAGGACCACATCCCCCATGGAGGGGCCGAAGCATCCCTCCATCTCTCCTGCCTCCTGACTGAGCAGCCTCTCCCCTCCCCGCGACAGGAATTAGCCAAGTTTCAGGAGCTGATCTTCGAGGACTTTGCCAGCTTCATCCTGGTGGAGAACACGTACGAGGAGGTCGTGCTCCAGTCGGTGATGAAAGACATCATGCAAGGTATGGGCCCATGGCTGAGCCTGGGGGGAGAAGGGAGGCGGTGGTCCAGCACCCTGGGGTGGGTGGTGGGTTCTGATGGAGTGAGTGTAGGGCAAGGCTGGGCTCAGCAGCACCTGGAGGGCCCATGATGGGTGCTGGGGGCTGTACGAAGAGGGGTGACCCTGTGCAGGGTGGTGGGGGTGTTACAAGGAGGGGATGACCCCATGCAAGGTGTTGGGGACCATAGGAGTACAGGGATGACCCCATGCAAGGTGGTGGGGGCTGTACGAAGAGGGGGTGACCCCATGCAGGGTGCTGGGGACCACAGGAGGACAGGGATGGCCACATGCAAGGTGCTGGGGGCTGTATGAGGAGGGGGTGACACCACGCAGGGTGCTGAGGACCATAGGAGGACAGGGATGACATCAAGCAGGGTGCTGGGGGCTGTATGAGGAGGGGGTGACACCATGCAGGGTGCTGGGGACCACAGGAGGACAGGGATGAACCCGTGCAAGGTGCTGGGAGCTGTATGAGGAGGGGGTGACACCATGCAGGGTGCTTGGGACCATAGGAGGACAAGGATGACATCAAGCTGGGTGCTGGGGGCTGTATGAGGAGGGGTGACCCTGTGCAGGGAGTTGTACAAGGAAGAGGTGACCCCATGCAGGGTGTTGGGGACCATAGGAGGAGGGGGATGACCCTGAGCGGGGTGCTGGGGGTGTTACAAGGAGGGGCTGACCCCATGCAGGGTGCTGGGGACCATAGGAGGACAGGAATGACCCTGAGCAGGGTGCTGGGGGCTGTATGAGAAGGGGTGACCTCAAGCAGGGTGCTGGGGCTGTACGAAGAGGGGGTGACCCTGTGCAAGGTGCTGGGGACCATAGGAGTTCAGGGATGACCTCAAGCAGGGTGCTGGGGGTTATGAGAAGGGGTGACCTCAAGCAAGGGTGCTGGGGGACCATAAGAGGAGAAGGATGACCCCAAGCAGGGTGCTGGGTGCTGTATGAGGAGGGGTGACCCTGTGCAGGGGGTTGTACAAGGAAGAGGTGACCCCATGTAGGGTGTTGGGGACCATAGGAGGAGGTGGATGACCCTGTGCGGGGTGCTGGGGGTGTTACAAGGAGGGGGTGACCCTATGCCAGGTGTTGGGGACCATAGGAGGACAAGAATGACCCTGAGCAGGGTGCTGGGGGCCGTATGAGGAGGGGGTGACACCATGCAGGGTGCTGGGGACCATAGGAGGACAGGGATGACCTCAAGCAGGGTTCTGGGGGCTGTACGAGGAATGGGTGACCCTGTGCAGGGGGTTGTACAAGGAAGAGGTGACCCCATGTAGGGTGTTGGGGACCATAGGAGGAGGGGGATGACCCTGTGCGGGGTGCTGGGGGTGTTACAAGGAGGGGGTGTCCCCATGCCAGGTGTTGGGGACCATAGGAGGAGGGGGATGACCCTGTGCGGGGTGCTGGGGGTGTTACAAGGAGGGGGTGTCCCCATGCCAGGTGTTGGGGACCATAGGAGGAGGGGGATGACCCTGTGCGGGGTGCTGGGGGTGTTACAAGGAGGGGGTGTCCCCATGCCAGGTGTTGGGGACCATAGGAGGAGGGGGATGACCCTGTGCGGGGTGCTGGGGGTGTTACAAGGAGGGGGTGTCCCCATGCCAGGTGTTGGGGACCATAGGAGGAGGGGGATGACCCTGTGCGGGGTGCTGGGGGTGTTACAAGGAGGGGGTGTCCCCATGCCAGGTGTTGGGGACCATAGGAGGACAGGAATGGCATCAAGCAGGGTTCTGGGGGCTGTATGAGGAATGGGTGACCCTGTGCAGGGGGTTGTACAAGGAAGAGATGACCCCTTTTAGGGTGTTGGGGACCATAGGAGGAGGTGGATGACCCTGTGCAGGGGGCTGGGTGTGTTACAAGGAGGGGGTGACCCCATGCAGGGTGTTGGGGACCGTAGGAGGACAGGGATGACCCCAAGCAGGGTGTGGGGGATGTACGAGGAGGGGGTGACCCCATGCAGGGTGCTGAGGACCATAGGAGGACAGGGATGACCTCAAGCAGGGTGCCGGGGGCTGTACGAGGACGGGGTGACACCATGCAAGGGTGTTTGGGGCTGTACGAGGATGGGTGACCTTGTACAGGGGGTTGTACAAGGAAGAGGTGACCCCATGTAGGGTGTTGGGCACCATAGGAGGAGGTGGATGACCCCGTGTGGGGTGCTGGGGGCTGTACAAGGAGTGGTGACCCCATGCAGGGTTTTGGGGACCATAGGAGGACAGGGATGACCTCAAGCAAAGTGCTGGGGGTTGTATGAGAAGGGGTTACCTCAAGCAAGGGTGCTGGGGGACCATAAGAGGAGAAGGATGACCCCAAGCAGGGTGCTGGGTGCTGTATGAGGAGGGGTGACCTTGTGCAGGGGGTTGTACAAGAAAGAGGTGACCCCATGTAGGGTGTTGGGGACCATAGGAGGAGGTGGATGACCCTGTGCAGGGTGCTGGGGGCTGTACAAGGAACGGGGGACACCATGCAGGGTGATGGGGGCTGTATGAGGAGAGGGTGACAACATGCAAGGGTGCTTGGGACCACAGGAGGACAGGGATGACCTCAAGCAGGTTGCTGGGGGCTGTATGAGGAGGGGTGACCCTGTGCAAGGTGCTGGGGACCATAGGAGGACAGGGATGACCTCAAGCAGAGTGCTGGGGGTTGTATGAGAAGGGATGACCTCAAGCAAGGGTGCTGGGGGACCATAAGAGGAGAAGGATGACCCCAAGCAGGGTGCTGGGTGCTGTACGAGGAGGGGTGACCTTGTGCAGGGGGTGGTACAAGGAAGAGGTGACCCCATGTAGGGTGTTGGGGACCATAGGAGGAGGTGGATGACCCTGTGCGGGGTGCTGGGGGTGTTACAAGGAGGGGGTGACCCCATACAGGGTGTTGGGGGCTGTACAAGGAGAGGGTGACCCCATGCAGGGTGTTGGGGACCATAGGAGGACAGGGATGACCCCAAGCAGGGTGCTGGGGGCTGTACAAGGAGGGGGTGACAACATGCAGGGTGCTGGGGACCATAAGAGGACAGGGATGACATCAAGCAGGGTGCTGGGGGCTGTATGAGGAGGGGTGACCTTGTGCAGGGTCAAGAAAGACCTTGTATAAGAAAGAGGTGACCCCATGCAGGGTGTTGGGGACCATAGGAGAAGGAGGATGACCCCGTGCGTGGGGCTGTACAAGGAGTGGTGACCCCATGCAGGGTGTTGGGGACCATAGGAGGACAGGGATGACCTCAAGCAGGGTGCTGGGCGCTGTACGAGAAGGGGTGACCTCAAGCAAGGGTGCTGGGGGCTGTACGAGAAGGGGTGACCTCAAGCAAGGGTGCTGGGGGCTGTACGAGAAGGGGTGACCTCAAGCAAGGGTGCTGGGGGCTGTACGAGGAGGGGGGACACCATGCAGGGTGCTGGGGACCATAAAAGGAGAAGGATGACCCCAAGCAGAGGTGCTGGGGGGCTTGTACCAAGAGCATCCTCCCGCTGGCAGAGCTGAGTGGTGGGTGGGATGCTGAACCCTCTGCCCAGCTCCAGCCCCCTCTCCCTGCACCCTACAAAGGGGAGACCTGGGGGAGGTGCCCGAGCCTTGGGTGGGTGGGGAGGGTACCCTCAGCCCATCTGACATCTCCCCCTACGTCCCCAGCTGTGAAGGAGGCGGCCGTGCAGCGGAAGCACAACCTGTACCGGGACAGCATGGTCATGCACAACAGCGATCCCAACCTCCACCTCCTGGGTGAAGGTGTCCCCATCGACTGGGGGGAGGAGTACAGCGGGCAGCAAGAGCCCGAGTCGGCCACCGACAAGCGCCGTAGGGCCAAGCAAGTGGTGTCAGTCATCCAAGATGACGAGGGGGTCCTGCCCTACGAGGTGGGTGCCGAGGCGTTGCTGCAGCCCAGCTCCCCAGAGCCACAGGAACCAGAGGAACCAGACCCTGGGGTACCACCAAGCTCTCCAGATAGGGTTGAGGAGATCCGGGAGGCGCTGGCGAAGGAGAGCCTTAGCGTGGAGGTGGAGGAGCGGCTGACGAATGGCACCGATGCCACACGGGAGAGTGGTGCCACCCAGGAGGTACCAGGGTCTGTCCCAGGGGATGTCCCCACCCCGGGTCTGGCCAGCAAGGGAGATGGGGTGCACCACGCCATGCCAGCATCACCTGCGCCTGGAGATGAGGTCCCATCAGGGGCTGTGGTGCAACGTGCAGCACCAGCATCACCTGTGCCTGGAGCCAATGTCCCATCAGGGGCCACCACGCAACATGCCACACCAGCATCACCCATGCCTGGAGCCGATGTCCCATCAGAGGCCACCATGCAACGTGCCGCACGGCCATCACCCAAACCCAGAGCTGATGTCCCATCAGGGGCCACCACGGAACATGCCGCGCCACCATCACCCAAACCCAGAGCTGATGTTCCATCAGAAGCCAAGGTGCCCCACGCCACACCACCATCACCCAAACCCAGAGCCGACGTCCCATCAGGGGCCACCATGCAATGTGCTGCACCAGCGTCACCCAAACCCAGAGCTGATGTCCCATCAGAAGCCAAGGTGCCCCATGACACACCAGCATCACCCAAACCCAGAGCTGATGTCCCATCAGAGGCCAAGGTGCCCCATGACACACCAGCATCACCCAAACCCAGAGCCGATGTCCCATCAGAAGCCAAGATGCCCCACGTCACACCAGCATCACCTGCACCTGGAGCTGGGATGGCTTGCCACCAGCCCAGTGACAAGGAGACAGGCGAGGAGGTGGCCCCCCTGGCCAGCGAGTGCAGCCCCCCACAGCCCATGGGGACGACAGAGAGTGGTGAGGGGGTGCAGACTGAGTTCTAGCCTCGGTGGCCTCCCTCACCCCCCACCACCATGGACTGGCCCCGGTGACACCGGGGATTGGGGTGGGGGGAACGGGACCCACAGCGCTGCCGGGGATGGAGAGGGAAGGGATGGGGAACACCAAGACCTTATTGCCCAGGGCTGGGGGGGGGTTGTCCCAGCTGCTCCGTGGGGCTGGCCACAGCCAAGTGGTCCTACTGGGTCGGACTGGGGGAGGCCCCTGGCACGGGGCACCCCCTGCACTCTGCTCTGTCCTTCTTCTGCCTTATTTTCTTCTTTTCTACTGAAGAGATGCTTTATCTGCACATTCCCCCCCCCTGCACAAGTGCCTGGGGCTGCCGGGTGGGGGCTGCTGTGGATGGGTGGGTGGGATGCCCCCAGCTGCCCTGGGGGGTGTCCCCTAGGATGGGGGGTGGGGTGGGGGGGGTGTCCTGGGAGCCTGCCCACCCCAGTCCCACTCCAGGATGCCAGTGGGAGCTGGGACCACGGTGGGGTGGGAGGGGGATGATGGAAACCGTGATGGTGGGCCAGGGGCACAGCCAGGAGATGGCAACGCTGGGTGGCTCCAACTGCTGCCAGGGGGGCAAGAACTGGGATAGACTGGGGTCCTGGCACCCAGACTGGGCTCATGGCACCCAGACTGGGCTTACAGTGCCCAGACTGGTCTTACAGCACTGGGCTCATGGCACTCAGGCTGGGGTCCCGGCACCCAAACTGGTCTTATAGCCCCCAAACTGGTCTTATAGCCCCCAAACTGGTCTTACAGCACCCAGGCTGGGCTCATGGCACTCAGACTGGGGTCCCAGCATCCAGACTGGGCTCATGGCACCCAGACTGGTCTTACAGCACCCAGACTGGGCTCATGGCACTCAGGTTGGGGTCCCAGCACCCAGACTGGTCTTACAGCACCTAGACCGGGCTCACGGCACCCAGACTGGTCTTAGAGCACCCAAACTGGGGTCCCAGCATCCAGGCTGGGGTCCCGGCACCCAGACTGGTCTTCCAGCACCCAGACTGGGCTCATGGCACTCAGACTGGTCTTACAGCACCCAGACTGGGCTCATGGCACTCAAGCTGGGGTCCTAGCACCCAGACTGGGCTCATGGCACCGAGACTGGTCTTACAGCACCCAGGCTGGGCTCCTGCCACTCAGACTGGTCTTACAGCACCCAGACTGGGCTCACAGCACCCACCCTCAC